TTGTTGTCCTCCCCCCCCCCCCCCCCCCCGAATAGTTGCTTTAGTTAATTTTCTGGTTTAATTTTTTGAGCTGTTTCTAATTGCTTGGGAAAGAAAACTTTGTATATAATGAAGCTCACAAAATAAGCTTACCAAAGGCAATTTTTTGTCAGTGTGGTGTTTTTAATGCTTACTATGTAATAATGTCAGTTTTATGTCAACAATTAATTCTCTTCTCCAAGGGATGATAAAAATTTGTGTAATAAAGCCATTGTGAGTGAGGTCAAGGCATTCTGTAAAGCTGATTTGGTTACTGCTCTACAGAATCTGAATGTAAACAGGCACCAGAACTGTGTGGAGCTGCAACAGTCAAAATGTGGTAAGTTTGTTTAATGTGCATGTATACATATGCAGGTTTTTGAGGCATGTAATAATCAGTGTGGGAGAGGGAGAATAGTTTCTACTGTAACTCAGTTTTTATATACTTTTGATCCTTAGGAATGCTTTTTGTTTGGGGCAGATTTTTTATTTTCAAAGGTAAATTGTTTTCTGAAAGTTTGAAACTTTTATTGAAACATCTATCTCTCAGAGCTTTAGCAAATTCAAATATGATGTATTTTTGTTTTATAGAAAAAAAACCCCATAGCATTAATTTCCTGTGTTTATAGTCATTTAAAAGGTGTTCTGAACTTTTTAGGACTGAAAAGAGATTTTTTCTAGTTGAGCCAGTTTGGGTCCTATTCTTAGTAGTTGTAAAATTCAGTATGCTAAGATCACTCCTTACATCTTATGCTGATACCTTTACCTGCATCCCAAACGGTAAAACTCTATTCTTGGGCTGCCTGTTCATTTTTCCAAAGATACAAGTACAGCTTACAGTATTAAGAAGTGATCTTCTTATACTTGCTGATAACTCCACTGGCTGTATGTACTCTTAAGTTATTTAAGGTAAAAAGAAACGTGGAGTAAGATCACAAATGAATAATGCTCTGGGGAAATGAATATTCTTGGTTAGTAGCTCATAATTAAAAATACCCACAGTACAAGTGGGTATAACTAGAAATATTTGAAACCTAATTAGATGTATCCCATCTGCTTTATAACATAAAGTGCAGTCTGCCTTTATTTAAGGGAACAAGTTATTTGTGTACTATCAACATAAATTAGATACAGAAACAGTTGCAATAAGTACCTTTTATTATTGTTGGTTTGACAGATGCAGAATTTGAGAAAACAGAAAGAGGTGATGCGCGATTCCCAAATACACTTCCAGACCTTGAAAAGAACTTAGGGCAAGCTTTATCTTGTATTTTGGAGACTGAAATGGAAATTGCATTTGGAAACCTATGGTTGGAGGTGGTATCTTATGTCATCTTGCTTAATATTTCACGTATTAAGAGGTGTAAATGTCTTTGGTGTTTTAATGATGTTAGTACTGGTGCTAAGTCAGACAACCAAGTCATCTAGTTCACTAACAAGGAACAGTTCAGTGCTCAGTTTTACTAGTTCAGGTTAGAACAAGATTATTCCATTTGGCCAGTAATGACTGTGCAGTGTTTTAATAGTCTCTTAATAACAGAGATGCTGGCTGTTTGGTGTAAATTTTCAGAACTCTTTGTATTAGTTGCATTAAATTTCTGTTTCAGCTTTTCTAGTGTGGTTAAATCACTGCATTCGTATGTCCTTCAAGAAATTATTCCATCAGATTTATATAATACCAAGGCACTGTTGTTGCAGGCAGTTCTTCCCCATCAGAACACATGTTTTTAGATACCATGTGGATAAAATTGTTCACAGCTTAAACTGGTTACAGTGCAGATACAGAATTACAAGGGTGTTAACGAGAACCTCCAAATGCTCTTTCAAAAGTATTGTTAACAGAAAACTATTGTTAACAGAAAACTTTCAAATTATCCATGCTTTGGTTAGATTCCATTTTGTAGCTGGCAGGAGGTAGGTAGAAGTTTAAGTTTATTGCAGATAAGCCTCTGTGGCTTTCAAAAATAAATATTTGTTTGCATGGGATGATTGTTGATCCACAAGGTAGAGCTTCAATTAGCCCTTAAGCTTTTAGGCACTTCTGATTAACTTAGTTGATTTCTGTTTACATCTTTTCAAACTCTGGTTTCATTTGGTAGTAATACATTTCAGTTTTATTGCAATATGCATATATTGCTTCATCTACACATAGTCACAGCTAGGAAAAGTATGTGTGGTTTTGGGGGGTTTTTTTCTTTTTAACAGTACTAGAAAACCAAAGGCCTCTTTACTGTTGCTCAGGCTTTTGTACACAAGCAATCCATTAATTCACTTTAAGAGATAACTCAAGAGAATTTAGAATGTTTGAGAAAAGGGGAACCAGAAATCATGATAATGTTGAAAGGTTATTGTTGTACACTGAACACTTCTACATGAGCATCTCTGTTTAACCCATGATGCTATTGAATCAAATCTTTTTTAATAGATATACTTGTTAAATCAGGATATAGCCTTATTTCTGAGGAATCATTGGAATTCTACTTCAGCAAGCACAAATCATTATTGAAGAATAGAGCAGTTGCGAATATGTCTATATGAAAATCAGCCTTTGAATTTATAACATATTATCTTTCAGATCGTGTATCTGAAGCCACCATGGACACTAGCAAACTTGCTGAAGTGTTATAAAAAACACTGGATGGCCGTTTTTGATTATGTAGTGCCAAGGGGTTTACTTTCAACCATTGAATGTCTCCATAAACACCTTTGTACAAGTAAGAATCTCTTAGAATGTTGATTGTAAGCCTGTAAAAACACCCCTCACTGTTCTGATTTTAGTAGTTACAGAAGTAGATACTTTGAAAAGGCCTATGTGCTCTGTACAGTTAAATTGTAATGTGTTTCATCCTCTTCTGCTTTTTTTTTTTTTCGATTTAAGATTATCCAAATGAACAGTCTTAGACAGGCTTATCTACTTTTCTATTGATCCACAATTTAGTCCCTGGATGGGTGACAAAATCCCAACACTGTTTTTGTAGCTTTAGAGCCAGAATTGAACTGAAATTGATGATCTACGAATGACATTAAAAAAAGAAAGAAAAAAAAAAGCAAGCTTGTGCCAAGATTTAAGTCGGTCCAGGTGCTCCTCCCAGATGGTGTAAATATCACCTGCAAATTCACAAAAATGTTTTCTGAAATGTCTGTCTGTCTTATCCAGTATTCTGCTGGCTTTTTTCTACTTTTTATACAAAAACAGTAAAAACAAATGTATGGACGCCATCAGACATGTAAGAATTTATTTCATGCATCTCTATGTACCTGCAAAACTCAGAGGAAAAACGTTTTAATGAACATATATATATATCAATGGTCACCAAAGTCTCTGAACTACTTTTAAAAAAACAAAGAATCTTTCTCCCTCCTTTGCCACCATGTTATGTGTGGCCGAACTATCTGCATTTGCCAAATAAATAATGGCTATTATAATAAATAGCCATTATAAATAAAGGCTATTTAATTTGGTAGATGAGGGCAGGGAGGTTTGTCTTCAAAAGAAGCCAACAGAAAAACCAAACCCTTTCTTTTTCTTTTTTTTTAAAGATGTCTTTAAGAATTTGATTTTAACAGATATACCTCTTTTGGGATGTTGCTGAATGATTTTGACAGATATACCTCTTTTGGGATGTTGCTGAATTATTTTAGGTATGCCCCTTGATCCTCTTGCCAGATCCTGGGATAAATCGGGAAGACTTGATTGAGTGAGAAACCTTAACCTCACACACATTTCCCTTGAGACTGTTTTATCTAATGCTTCTGAACCACTTTCCAGGCTTTTTATGTGCTTCAGTTAATCCAGATATTTGAGTATTAAATTTGCCTCCTAAGATTGATAACTCCTAACACCTAATACTTTCTTTTATTCTATTTGTCATTTTAATGTCTAAATATCAGGTAAACCAGTTGACTCCTCAACAGTGCGTATCTTGCTCCAGGAATCCAAAAAATTACTCCATGCTTTCAGTTCAAGGTCAGACTATAACGGTGTACTTCCCCAGGCTTATGCTGAAGTGAACAAGCTATACCAAACACTTACCGAGGTAAGGGGAGCTTCAGTATTTGTTAACAGATATGATGATTAACATCTTCTTGAAGTTGCTCCATGTTCATATTTACTTGGCTTAGATTTCTAAATTATTCCCATAACTTCAACAAATTATTGCAGGAAATGTTGTTGCTAGAATGTTTTCAAAATTAATAGACCTCAAATTTAACTTTTATTTTCACGTAGCCAATATTTGCCTTTATGTATATGCTTGGTAGACTTTTTTTTTCTCTGATATAAATGTGTTAGTATCAGGAGGGGGACTGAAAAACATCTAGCTGCTTTCAGGAAAAATGTCTTGGTTTTCTATTGCATCAGTAGGAAAGGTTGGTTACTCTGGAGGAGTGTTTTGAAAGGGGAAAGACTCTGCACGCTTCTGGGGATGCCCACAGGGAGGGATGTTTGGGAAGGAACGTTCTTTACAACACCAGTAAGAGGGGTTTCTAACCCAAGAAAGTGAGACTTGTGATCGTGCCGTGCATGGCCACAAGAGCACACAGGTCTCAGTATGTTACTGGGGGAGAGCATCAACTTCAGACTCAAAGGACAAGTGCAACCAAACCTAACAGCGGGGTACAGCCCCCAAAATACTGAATTTCTGTAACTCTCAGGAAAGTCAGCGACAGCCAGAAGCGAGAGACCTTTGTAAGTGAAAGGCAGCGTGTGATTTCAGCCCTTATGAGACTCCAGAAGATCCACAGACGCAGAAGTTGTGCAGCCCTAGCTAGAGAAGCAGCTTTGTTAGGTGTTTGGACTGTCTGTGTTGCATGATAATAAAACAGCTCCGCAAATTTTTTAAGTCAAATCTAGCCCTTTCAGGTCACCATCGGAACTGCTGCATACTGGGACTTACAGGAGTGTTGCACTGCTCAGGGAAGCTGCTGAGGCCTTGAAAATATGGTTTTCAGCAACCTTAAAATTCTGCTGCACACACAACTAATAAATCAAATTCAAATCTTTGTAGCTTTTTGCTATAAACTGATGTGCCTCTCCAAACCTGCTATATTTATTATGTCCGGCAATGTCCGTCTATTCAGTCTTCTGAGTAATATGTTGATATATTAAAGAAGGATTCTATGAAATGCAGTTTAACTCTCCAGCTTGTAAATGACAGTAATGACTTTAATATATCAACGTATTTCTTGGAGGACTGAATAGTCTTTCCTCATCCCCTGGCAGTGTTCAAGGCCAGGTTGGATGGGGCTTTGGGCAACCTGGGCTAGTGGAGGGTGTACCTGCCCATGGCAGTGGGTGGAACTAGATGGGCTTTGAGATCCCTTCCAACCCAAACCAGTCTGGGATTCTATGATTTATAGCTGATGGAAAAGGGCCTTAAAGATTAAAATTAAAATTGTTGTTTCTACTTCTGATGTTGATCCAATACTACTACTCCTAGGTGTGCTATTTCAGCTTTCATTGTCTTGGTAGCCCTGGTGCTACACATAAGGAAAGGACTCACTTGTATCACGTGCTTTGTGATAGTTAATGGGAGGTCTCCTGACACCTTTTGTGTTCTGAGAAGCATGTCTTTACTTCCAGCTCATCTCTGAGTTGCTGTGGAAGAAATTTCAGTGTCTTGGTTTGTGGTTACTGTTAGTTCCATGTGTAATGGCATAAAAAAATGGAATAATGACCATGGATGACTTGAAATATTTCTATATATGGGAAAGAATACAGGTCAGAATATCTGTAAAAAGTTATTTTCACGTTTGGAGAAAGCTGAAGGGGAAAGGAAAGAAGGTGGTCAAGGAGAGGAAGGATGATCTTGATGGTCTACTGTGCTGTAACTTCTGTGTGCATTGCACTCAGGCACTTTGTCCGCAGTTCTGTGAAGAAGCAGGCTTTCTGTCTGAAAACTCGTTTCCTCTTGTCCTTGTCCTGACAGGTGTTTGACTTCGCAAAGAACTGCCCTTATATAGACTAGGTTGTGCCAGATCAGTTTGAGTTTAACATGGACAAATTTTCTGGACTGTTTACCAAATGAGTAGATGATACTTTGTGCTCTTGCAGAGTAAAACGTGCCATCGGTTGTGGGGTAGGGAATAAGAAGCAGTTCTCGATTCTACCAGCTTACCGTGCCTGGGAAGCTTTGGCACAGTTTGCCTTTGCTTCCGTTTCCTATCTGTAGAAATACCAATAGATACATAGACTTGGTGAAAGACTGAGAGATGCTTTAGATGCAGAGACTATAATAAAAATGGTTATGACTAGAGGAGATCTGCTTTGCTTTTTTGAGCATTGCTTTTGGAAAAAATAAAGTGTTCAAATTTTCTCTAAGTTAGGAACCAAATACACTCATTATTTGTTTGCTGAACTGTTTTATAAGGTGAGGTCAGACAGTGAGCAGGATTTATCAGAAGACATCATGGTTCTTTCAGAAAATGCTGTATGTGAAAAAATGGAAGCAATGACACCAAATCTGCAAAACTCTGAAGAAAAAAAGTTACATCCAAGCTTTCATGTAGCTCAAGAAAACAGGCACCAGGAAATCTGGTCAGTCCTTGAAGGTGTATGGAATACAATAAACTTGTACAGGTATGGTATGCTAAAGAAATGCAGAACTTCTACGTAACCTTACATCATTTTCAAACACATGCACTTAATTAAATTGCTTTTTTTTTCCTATTTTAGAGAAGAAACTATTAGTAATTAATCAAAATTGACCAAAAAAATCCCACAACTTGTCACACAAAGAATTTAGGAGTGTACAATTTGTTATGTGGATGCAGTCAGTGATCTGTCGAGTCTGCTGCTCTTTTTCTGGACAGTGGTTGAACTAAACTAGGGAATGGTGTTGAAAACCCTGTAAGAGCCACAAATGTGAGACATCCATGGAAATCTCATCTTTAGCCATAAAAAAGAGGCATTCAAGCTCTAAGCTTTCTCGTGGTTATTTTCTTTCCAAATCCTGTGGAGGTATAATAGCCTATGCAAAATTGTTCACTCTTTTTTTTTTAAACTTGAATCAATTTGAAATAAAAGTTTTCTTGTTAAACAAAATCCTTCACTCTCTAAAAATCCAAATGCAGAATCTAGTGATGAATTTCCATTCTCATATAAACTCAGAAATGCATGGAATTAAGCCCACCTCATCTAGATGTTTTACTGTTGTTTTTTATTTTGGTTATTTCTGAAAAATCTGCTTGAAAAATCACTGAGATGCCACGCTTTTGGATACTGTCACAAAATCTGAATAGACACCGCGTTTTCTTTGTGTGGTCTTAATCTGAAATCTTTTCAAAGGAGGGTTACGAGGTGATGTCAAGCACGAAGGAACTTCCATTTTTGATGGTCTGTTAAGGGCTCACCTAATAAACAGTGATAGTAACTCTACTGATGCCATTTCTACACTAGCATTTGAATGTATTCTAGACCCACACCAGCGTACTCCTCTTGGCTTACACCAGTGCAAATTAATCTGAATTGGAGCTGGTTAGGATTTGGCTTGGCGTGGTGGTCAGGTCAGCTGAGGGCTCCACACAAGAGAACGCTGATAGTAATTATGAATTTGAAGGTTTCATATAAGCATGGAGGAAAAACTTTCGACTGTATTACTTTATAATGAAGATGCAACTGACTGTTGGCTCTTGCCACCTGTTAAGGACCAGGCTGTGAAAAGAGGATAAAATTTTAGAATTAAAGGTCACTTCACACTCTTCGTGCTCAAGTCAAGAAAATGCTTCTTATCTCGCACCCGTGGGGATAATTTTTCATGCACTGCAGCTCATCGTCCCTACGCAGCCGTTGCAGGGAAGGTGTCAAACCTGATCCAGTAAATCTGGAGAATGAAGCTGCGTGGAAAATTGATGAAAAGCACTTTTCTGCTTTAACTTACAGTTCTCTTCTAAGAGAGGCTTACTCAGGTGTACTCTGGTTGCGCATGAAGAGACTGTTTCCTTCGCAAGTGAAGTTTAACGATAAACTTAAGTCAACGGTAAAATACTGTTACAGAATACAGTCACCAAGGAAAATTTTAAATGAAGAAGTACAATTGTAAGGCATGGTCTTTCTACTATGTATTCTAAAACTATTTTAGATAACATAGCTTTAGTATAGATTTATGTTTGACCTTGGGTTTTTTAATAGTCAAAATACAATGCATGCAATAGATACTGGGTTTCTCTAAATTTTGAGGATTTTTATTAACTGCTTTTCCATGTTCTTAAAATCTTCTTTCTTTCTTTTTAATATTAGTATTGAAATTTTCCAAAAGTTGGACCCCAACACAGTAACTGTGACTGCAAAGTCTTCGTTTGAAGAAGCTTTTTTAGGTCTGCAGAAACTGTTGGCAGCTGTGAATGATATCCGTGAAGGAATTAGTAGGTAAGCATTTAAGCTTAGTAACAGTCACTTAAAGTCATAGAAGTCACTGAAATCTTTTGATGCCAAAGTAGGATTTATTATGTGTGCTTAGTTAAATGATTTTCAGTAAAAATCTTGATATCAAGGCTATTTAGAACCATTTCTTGGTAGCAAAAGAATAAGAAACTGTTGCAGACATTCAGCTCTCTTGTAGTGAGTCTTCTCTTTTATGACTTGGGGCTTGTTTCCCAGTATTTGAAGAGGAGCCACTCGCCTCTGCTCAGAGTGTAACTGGAGCTATGATATGATTAACTGATACATTAGCTCTGATGGCAAGAACTTTTGAAAAACAAATGTTCTGAATTACTCAATGTGAAGCCCACTGGAATTGGGGCAAATTTCCAATGTAGTGAAGGACATAAAGTTTTGGGACTTCACTGTTACCAATTCTAGACTGTTCTTCAGGTTGGAGCAGTAACAATGACGATCAATCAGTTCAGGATTGTAATTGTGGTTAAAGTTCCAGCAACTGCCATGAGCATCCTAAAGCGCTACAGGCCGTGAATCTGAGTGGCTGGAGTGATTTGATTTGGGGAAACACCACCACTTCGCACACTTTCTTTGCATACTAACAATGCACATAGGTTAGAAAACTGAAGTAGATGTATCCAAACCATTGGGCTTGCCCTGTACATTAACAATCTGCCTTTTAAGTAAATGTTGAGGTATATTACATTTCTACTGTAGACTGTTGCACCATTGTTAGACATTTATCTGATAAGCATAATTTTTTTTCAGAAAGTGTTTTTTCTATCATTCTACCATAGTAGGAGCTTTTAAACTTGCATTATCAGTATGTAGTGATGTTCATGACAATCATTTCTGAAGGATCGCAGTCCTTATGCTATAGTTATCAGAACAGTCCTGCAGGTATGGACATACAGTTGCCTCGGTTGTAAACTGTGAGGTCTGACCTGCCAAGGCACTTTAAAATTCTGAAGCAGGGATCTGGAGCTGTGTCACTGAGGACTTGAGCTAGTTTTCATCTGTAACTGTTAGAGTATTTCTTTTTTTTTTTTTTCTTCCGATAAACATTGTGATAGAATCATGCAATCCTTTGCTTCACTTGTCACCACTCCCAAATAAGTTTTCTTTGCCCTTTTTTTCATAATGGTCAAAAGAGTATTTCATTAGTTAAAATGTTTCAGTACAATATATATTCCGTAAGTCCCAAACAAGCTTCAAGGCACATTCATGTGAAATACTGTGTTCACATCAGCATAGAAGACCATCCCTGCATCAGTAGTATTGCAGTCTAAGTTATAGATCTGATTTTTTTTCTGTACGGCATGCTGACAGTGGGACAAATCCATTCAAAGAACTGTTGTCTTTTGATGATAAATGGTCTAAATATTATGAAAGTAGAAACAGAAAAATATGGGTTGAAATGTGAGCTGGAGTAGCTTGGTGGTAACTGGTTCATTTTCATTGCTGATTGGTTGGTTTAGTACTCCCGGTTGAGATTAGATTTTATTAGTGGCAATGTCAGGTTTTTTCTCTAAAGAAATTGTTCTAATAAAACAGATTACTGCTAAACTTGATTCTTTTCATTCCAGTCCTAAAGTTCTTGCAAGAAATCCTGTGGTATCAGTTTATATATGTGATGGATGAGGTTTAATGGGAGTATGGTGCTTCAAGGTCATTAGTTCTGTGTTACAGAGGTGTTTCATTAACACTTTGTGTGGCTGTAACAGAAGACTTTTTTTCTTGTGTTGAAAGCTACTTATCTCCTGTGTTCGCTGTTATGGGATAGCTCTGTAAAAATAAAAAAGTGTGACATCATATCAGAGAAGTCTATTTTACAAAAGATGTACTTTGTGGATTAGAGCCATTAGAATACCTGGAGCAAAGATAAACAGGATTCTGTCATTTGACTTTATTGGAAATGGAGAGCCTATTTTCTGTTCCACATGATTACCGTGACACTCAATAACATTTAACAGAAGGCTTTAAAAATTCCTTTCATACTTTTAAAATTTTTCTTTTCTACCACTAAATTGAAATACACTATTTACTCCAAGAATCATCCTGGATATATAATTTTCCTGCACGGTTGCATTTGGAAATGCCTGATCTGAGTTTGTTCTGCAGATTTGCAGTAGGAGGCGTTGTGGAGCAAGAAATTCAGAGGGACTGTAACATGTAACCGTCTGGTTTCGACTTAAGTTGTAGGTATTTAAGTTAATTTGAGACTGAGTGGATTTTCCAGAGAGTCAGAGGCCATATTTACGAATCATTGCAGGTTTATGTATATTACGGAGTATTAAACACAAAGTCTGAAGTTTTCAAAAGCGAAAGGTTTATTTTGTCCAGGTCATTCAGCCTTTCTGGAACTGAAATTAGAATATATTTTTCTTGATTTTTTGAAAAAAAAAAAATTCCTCTCGGTGACTTATAGTTAATCTAATGGTGTGATTGCAGAAAAGGAGACATCTGGAAAAAAAGTAGTGGAAAAGTTCTAGCTTGAATATTTGGAGGTAATACAATTTTTAGTGATAAAAGTGTTTTCTGTGTTGCCTTTTATTCCTTCCTGTCCAGAACAAAATAGAGCGAAAGTGTCTTGTGAAAGTTTTTGGAAGTTTTACAAATAAGTGATTTTGAAAGTTCAACTACATTAAAAGTTCAGATTTTCAGATTGTTAAAAACAATTAGAAAAGCACGATCACACTTTTTGAGATAAGTGTGTGTAATGTTACCCTTCCTCATACAGAAAATACTACGCTAGTGGCAGTACTACAGCTGTGTAGTAGTTGATGACCAGAACATGTTTATCACATATATAGATATTAAAAAGGGGGGGGAGGTGCAGTTTCATTCATGAAAGAGGTCTTATTAACAGCTCTTTGCATCTTACTCTGTTTTTGTAACTTTTATCATAAGATAGATATTTTTAATTTTATCTTTGCTTCTTCCCCTAACAACATTGGTAGCAGAATGGTATTTATACTGCAAAATACTGCAGGCCACACATGTTTTACAGTACTCCAGCTCTAAAACGAAGACAATAACTACTATGGTTAGCAACTGTGGATAACCTACCAGCTGCTTCTGGCAGGAGGGATGTTTTTAAACAAGGATGTGTTAGTTGGCTCATCTGATAGAGCCGATCCTCGCAGACGTTGTTGTGTCAGTGTGTTCTTGAGACTTACTTAAAAAGTGAGCGTAAAATACCTGCTTTCCACTTTTGACAGGAAAGGTTATTACATATATTGCTGTAGATTACATTGAGTAACAATGAACAAAGATTATTAAACCTCTGAAATGTATATTTTCAGTAAAATTGTAAAATCATGACATGTTTTTAAATAATTTTGGATTGAATAATATTTCTGACTGTTTTCAGTGGTGGTTTATATTTATATTTATGTTGTCTATTTGGGTTGGGTATTATTTGGAACCAGTTAATTAGGGGACCTAATTTAAAGTCCCTTAAATCTTTAAAATAAAATAATTACCTTTTAAAGTCTTTAAAAGAATTTCTTGGTTTTCAAGTAGCTCTTTGAGGCAACAGAAGTATTCCCACAACTCAGGGTTTTCAGATTTGTGCCAAATCTTTCATCACTTGTAGAAATTCTTCCACTGATTCTGCCGGAAGGTGTTTGGGCCCTTCATCTTCTCTCTGAAGAAAGGTTTAAGTCCTTATTGTAGCTAATTAACTCTTAGAGATCTTATTTTAAGAAGTGCAGGATGCCTGGCAAGGCGTCGCTGCTGGGGAGCGTATATACTTGAGATACATCTGACTCTTCGCTTAAGCTACATCCTAACTTCCCTCCGCTTTCTGCGTGCAGGACGTTTCTCTCTTAACCCGTTGAAGCTAATGCGTGCGCCAATGCCAGCAGAAGACTGGAAGTGCTTGTAGGTTTTCATGGTCAGTCTTCTGAAACGTATTTTGTGTTCTTATTGCTGTTAAATCTTCCCATGAGCATACTGATTGGGCCGTTGGATACAGATAGCTTTCTTACCCCTTCAAAGCTTCAGCAGCGTTTAAAGGCATCTGTAGGGTTTCCATTAGCCAACGGCATCCCTCGGCTGAGCATAACTTCTGATTCACGCGTTTATATGCACCCCAGGGAATTTTACACAGGAACCTTACTGTCTTCGCGGTTCCTGCCCAAGTTTTACTTTTAGATAAGAAATGCTTGTAAACAGAAAAGAAAAAGAACGTTTAGTCTTTAGTGAATTGATATAGTTATTTCTAGTCTGATTTTTTTTAGATGTTTGTTAAGAAATAATTTGTTTTGTTCCCATGCCAACTTTAAGATCACTCACACTTTATAGTGTATACTCTTAGATACAATACCTGATCACTGAATTGAATGTTTTGGGATTAAATAATTTAAAACCGGTTCTACAGTTTTACTAATTTAAAACCAGAATTGTACAGATATAGAGAAACTGTTTCTTCTTTGTTTATTCAGCTAGTCAGTGGAGGAATTGAGGTTTCTTTTTCTTGGTGTAACATAATTTGTATAACTTCCAAATCGTGAGCAAGAGGAGGATTTATAACCTCCTTCATGGAGCGTTTTGACCGCACGTAGTCAGACTGGCACAGCTGAGAGCAGGATTACGGTCGGCAGAGCCCTTGCATGTAGAAATGTCCCTCCCCAGGGATCAGCATCAGCACTAATGTGGAAATGTCCCCTTGGTTACTAATTAAAAAAACACTTTACTTCAGTAATAGCATTTCCAAAGCTCATCTTTCCGTAGTGTTGTACCCTTTAGTTTAATTATCATGTCTGATATAGTTAAAAACGTGCAGTATGTGATAAAAGATTTTCTCCTAGTTGTAGCGTTCCCTTTACTACATGGGTTCTTTGCCATCTCCTGTTACATTTGAACTTACCTACAGCCTTCTCTGCTGCCGGGGTCCAAATTTGTCCTTTACCTTTCTGCCTATTTTAATGAGATCTGTAAGAAATTGCTAAGTTTCAAGACCTCTGCCTCTGTCAAATACAGTTGAA